CTCCGCTCAATGCGACTAATATGTATAAGGATCCTTAAGAAATACATGATACTGATCTTTTTTATGCAGACGTTATAGATTTTTTTCAACAAAGTTTCGATCACGTGAAATTGGCAAGTGACTACGAGATATTTATTCTTTATGTTTTATCAATGGAACATAATTGCACTGAGAGCAATGCGATGAGAGGCAGCGACGATGTTTTTGGTTCTCAGTAAATGAATAGTCACATGAAAGGTATCTTTGAAATAATTTAATCTTATAACAATATTTGTTTTCAAGTAATTATAATATATGAAAAAGTAAATGTAAATTTGTATAAAATATTATATATAAGAGAGAGAGAGAGATAATTTTAATAGATAATATTTAATTTTGGAGATATTTAATTTGCTGCATGTCCCTAACACTATACTGCATGCAAAATTATCTATTAACAATTATTTAAATAAGATGTTCTAATAACGAAGATTTTACGAATTTTCGTAAAAAAAGTTATTCTGTAAAACACACACACACATCACACACACACACACACACACACACACACACACACACACACACACACACACACACACACACACACACAGATCCGAATACATAGCAGGAATTTTATAGTCAGGGCAATGATTCTCAAAGCAATTTTTCCGCGGGCGAGTGAAGAGGAGCAAGGGGATAGGAGAGGATTTCTGGCAGGGATTTCCGCGTGAGGGAAGAATATTAGCGCACTTTAAATTACAGCAATAAAATATCTCCTCGGCGGTGGCAGAGTTGCGACAAAATAGGCACTCCGTTCTTTTTTTTTTTTATTTTTTTTTATTCCCGAAGATAACAATTATCGTCGAAGCGATACGCGTCGTTTCTTTCTGGCATCGAGGCGACGATCGTTTCGACTCGAGCGACTTGCTTGATCCACGCGTCGGAGCTAGATTTAATACGATGTAAAAGAGATGTACAAAGAGTACCGCGTGCGTCAAGCGAATCATTTGAGGGGAAAGAATGCAATACAGAGGCACTTCGGGATTGAATGATCACGTTGAGAGGATAAATGTCACGTAGCGTTTCTGAATCGCGTAGAAATAAATCGATTCACAAGAGATGTAGACGAGACGAACGGCGAAGGGGGGGACACATTCACCATAAACGGTGTCCCTCGCTTCCTTTTTTTTTTTTTATTTGAGATATGCTGATATTTTTGTAGCAAAACCCGGCGAGAGATTTGAGACATTTTTCACACATGCACGAAATCTGCACATGTATATACATATAACAACGGTCTTCCTCGTCCAACGATATTTTTTTGCAACGACGGCGGGAGTGCGCTTTGCATTCACTCTTTACAACTTACCGTCACACACTTTTGCAATAATAATGCACAGAGGTGATAGATCACGATGTAAAAGAGATCCACGATATTTATGGAAAGTTCTATATAGTTCAAAAACGTTCTATGGCCACGTTTTAAAGTAAGATTGCGTTGATCATCATTTACTCATGATACTAGTCCTGTTATATATATATGTCTTAAGTTTGGAAACAAAATATGATTACTTTGTGAATCGGGAGTAGTTTTCGAATTTTTATATACTTATAAATTATATTATAATTCTCTCATGTTATTCATTTAGGGTTGCCATATTAAAATTTTCAAAATTAGGACTTACAAGCCAAAAACCCCGAATATTTCGGTTGCAACCCCGGACATGTACAAAAATGCGCTTAAATTAATAAAATTGATTATAGAATAATAAATCATTATTTCACATCTAATTGTTCATTAGCATTGTTCAGCGCAGAGAGAAATTTGAAATTTGGAAACTAAATAAATAGACTATTTTGATTTAAAGTAAAAAGTTTTATTATAGTTAGATTTAGTTTAAGTTTTATTAGATATTAAAATTAGTTTAGATTATATTAGGTGTTAAAATTAAAAAAATTTTAACTCTTATGTGATATTCATGTGCTATTTGATAATGCAGAATAATGTGAGAGGAATCAAAACAAAATATTTAGAAGATTTCTTAAAACCCCGGACGCTTTCAGAAAATTCCCCCGGATGTCCTAAAAAAGAGGCAATATCCGGGGAAAAGAGGACGGATGGCAACCCTATATTTATTGTAATCATTTCCATTGAAACAAGTTGTTTCCCCACGAAATATGTCTTACCGTTAACTTCCATAATATCAATTATGTCGATTCTTTCTTACGAGCTGTGAAGGGTTAATACATGTTAAAGAAATCTGGTCTATCGGGGGTGCTAAGAGTCACCAGGCCGTAAGTACAAGCGTAAGTTTCTTCTCTAATCGCTAATAATTCTCTCAACTCGAGTTTTGAACGGTGCCTAAAAGCCTTGATATTAAAAGACGAACGAAAGCAAGTCCGGAATTGCGTGTCGTCGAATCCTTGGCGAGTAATGGGTGGGTAGAAGAAAGAGGGTTGCTGTTAATCGCGGTATTTTCACATCCGTGTCAGCAATATCACGTGTTAAAAAAAAAAAAAGAAAAGAAATCACAGGTGGAACAAAATTATGATACGATATACGACGATAAGATATACCTATGTACCATCGATGCGTAGAAAGTATCATGTAACATGTTATATACACCCGCAAGTGTGTATGTATGTACGTACGTATGTATGTATGATGTAAACAAGGGGATTATCGTAGCGCTCCATTAAGGGAGAATAAAGTATATAATTGAAAGAAATAATAAACGCTACCGAACTATAATATAAACGACAATGAAGAAGTAGATAGATCTACGCCGATTTATGTATGTACGTAAAGTAAAATGTAAGAATCGCGAGTAACGTGCACTTTTGTAATAGCCATTTTGCGAAAAACGATAAGAAAAAAAAAAACAAACACAGAAGAAACAAGACGATAGCAGAGATAATAAAAAGTTGACGCTTGGTATACCATAGTTTTTATCGACATATCCTATCCGAACACATCCTTCTTACGTACATATTGCATACCTAGTTATTGCAGATACGTGTTATAAATAGGATATTTTATGAGCAAACGATACTAATATAATTACGATTATTATTATTGTAATTATTTTGATGATTATCATTATCGAGATATTAATTATTATTGTCATATAATTAACGCGGAAGGTATAGGTGCGTAATAACATAAAGATGGTACAAGTAAGGCAAGCATGTATTGTACATAGCTGTCAACCTTTGCCCCACCATACGATATACATATATATAGACATATATGTATATATATATATATATATATATATATATATATATAATAATAATAATGCATACAGCCATTATATTGCAGAAAAACATTAACCGTTGTTGTACTAGTTATTATTGTGAATTATTATTACTTGTCATCCTTATATTATTATCATTATTATTACTATCATTATTATCACTATTATCGTCATTATGATTATTGTTATCATGTCATCATCATCATCATTATCATCGTCTCGCGGCGTCATTTTAATGCTACATATACTTTTAAATTAATGTTACATTATTGTTGACGGAAGTAGCCCCTCACTTATAGCACATGCGGAACAAAAGTTATATTTATTTGCAGATTGGATTCTACCTCAATCTTATTGTAAACAAAACTACCCAAGTGTCCTCCACGCCTATCCTTCCATTTTCTCTGAATGAAATTTTCATGAGATATAGCGCGTCGTTACAGGCGAGAGACATTGATTTGCAGCGACCTCAAACTGTGATAGTGTAAAGGATATTTAAATTAAGTTTTTTTGCGCTGTATACGAGAGAGAGAGATACATGTAATTCATCGGTGAATCGTGCGAACGAAATACACATATGTAAATTCGACGAGCTCATTACATGATTGTGTGATAAACGTGGCATAAAAGAAAATAGATCATCAATTGTTATACGAATATATTATATTTCATTTACTATCTTATATAACATGGCTGTCTTAAGATTAAGTTAATTTTGTAATGAGCTTCACGATTTTCGTTTGCAAATATTTGGAACATACGCTTTTAATATTAGATTTATGTTGTAATTATGTTTTAATAGAAAGTATTTATATTCCCCAATTTATTTCACATTATCTATATAACATTATATCCATATAAAAATGAAACATATATTTTAAGTAAAAGATTCTATAAAAAAAAAACATGTTTTTCATATATTAGGCATACATCACATAATATTGTAACTGCATTCTATGCAGACTGTGAATATGCGATATTATAAAATGTAGAACTTTCTTTAAAGCTTGATCAACTATATACTATGAACAAATGCTGTGCACTTGTGATTTAAGAGTTTGTGATGTCACCGCACGCGATATGAGTTTTTCTTTCTTCGTTCTATGTCAATTTAGTTCGAGTAATCGAGAAAATTGGAACACTACATCGTGATATGGGTTCCTTTATTGATGTGTTGCGCAAGAATTAATAGTGTTAGTTATAATTGCCTATAGGGTCTCGATGATTTCAGTGTATTATTATATTGTGATGTTAGCTTAAGCTCTTGCGAGATCGGAGATTTGTAACTGAGGTTGCTGTAAAATCAATCTTATCGCTAAGGTGAGGGATCACTTTCATAATTTTTTAGGCTACACAAAGAACGCCCAGAAGCAGATGTCGATTGTCCTCGAAAAATAAGAAAAGTAAAACGTATCCCACGTAATTGTGTTGAATGGTGAAATGCGATGTTTGGGAACTGTATATTGTGATCAGCAAACAGACTACAACAGTGTAGTTTGTTCGTAATAAAATGAACAAACAGAAACTTGTGTAATAAAGTAGGTATCCAAAACAAAAAATTTGGTCATATCTGTTGCTGATATCCATTCAATAATAAAAATCTATTAATTCATGCACATCATGATCAAAATATATTTTATGTATAAGCTTTAACAAAATTTACCTTACTAATAAGGTAAGTACTTACGACTTTTCATGTATTTTTTTTGTCTTATTTATATTTAATTTGTTGTTAATATCCTATAGAATTTAAAATTCAAAAACTTTAAATTAAATACTTTTTATTCAATTTCCACATCAACTACAGCATCTTCTACGATCACTTGCTCAGAAGTTACAGGAACTTGTATCATTGGCAAAGGATCAGGTGATCGAGTGTAAGTATTACTTGTCGAATGTTCTTTGAAATACTCTCCACCATTTTCTTCGTATTCTTTGCGACTGACTAAATATTCAGGTAAATTACCATTTAAACCAAAATCTCTTGCACCGTACCAAGCATCCAAGCTAGTATTTTTCGCAATATTCACTTGAAAGTTCGATCCGAAAGGTCTTATTTCGCGTAGTTCACGTTTTAATCTTTCCAATAATCCTGGGAAAGCTGTCGATCCACCAGTAAGAAATACATTACTTACAAGACGCGTTTGTTCTTCAGGAGTGTATTGTTTTAAAACAAATTCGATTGTCTCGGCAATTCCCGCTTCCACAGAACCGATCATAGATGGTTGAAATAATAATTCTGGTGCTCGCAATCGTTCAACGCCTACGTGAAGCTGGTGAGTTTCCCCAGGAACCATAGGAACGCTAGATCCAGCACTATCAAATTCAGGATCATGATGACGTAAAACATCTTCCAGTTCTAACAGCTTCTCTTGTTCTAATTCTGAATCTGAATCGCCACCTTCCTACAAAAACAGTATTCTGTAACAAAAGATATCAATTTTTGCAATTTGATATAAGAATGAAAATATATATACCCTATTTATGACTTTATACACGTCCCAGTCTTCATCCCGCATACCAAAATCATCATCGCGCTTTTCTTTCTTCGCTAACTGACTAATTATACGCATCCTCTCCTGTGCGGCAGCTGTTCTCCGCTTCGCCATATCTTGTCTTCGTTGTCTTTTTGCCATACGTTTATCTAATATTTCTTGTCTATAAAAAATAAAGATTTAATACATAAACATATATTTGATGAATATTAATGATATGTGTATTGACAAACAACCTCTTCTTTCTAACTCCAGCAATCCATTCATCAAAATCTTGTTGATCCTTAGGTTGAAGGCTTGATTTAATCTTAGGTTTTTCTTCCATTACGATATTTTCCTCTTGTGAATTAGCAGCAACGATTTTCTGTCTGGTTCGTTCTACCTTTGCTTGTAGATTGTTGATCATTTTTATTAAATCAGCCTCATTCGCAAGAGAGTAAGATTTTAATGCCTGATCAAATTCATCGATTTCACCTTCTTCTAAAAGATCTTGAACTGCCAATAATTGATTAAGTTGCTCCTCATCTTCTGCTAACTGCAAATATTATATATACATTAAACATATTAATTAAACATAAAGTGATATTACACATATAAATAAATAAATATAATTATAAAATATCAATTATAAAATACTAATTATAAAATACCAACCCTTTCCTCTCTCTTTCTTGCATTAATTTCCATCAATCGCCGTGCTAATTCTCGTTTCCTTTCTTTTTGTTGTTCAAGTGTTAAGCCAGGAGTAGTAGCAGGCGCAACATATGGTAATTGAACTCTCAAAACATGTGTATCATAGTAATCTACATCTGCCCATTTAGATAATTCTTCCTGATAATTTAAAGCTATCATCGAATGTTCGTGTATCAACTCCTGAAGATTATGAGGCAGTTTAGTAATTATCATTATTGTTAATACAAATTTTTTATAATATATGATATGTACCTCTGCCCGACTAGGCGTTATTGCATTAACGTGTACTGGATATTTTAATTGAAGGAGTTTATGCATATATGATGTAATATGATATCCACCAATATTGATTCTTCTTGCATTTGTGGCATCCGCTTTTCCATCCAATATTGGTATTATATGAGTTGTATGGTAGCCTATGCTAACTATTAAACCATCTGGTGGACAGTTATTATGCTGGTATGAAAATAAGCAATCAATTCCATATGCTATAGATGGTACATTGTAACATTCAAATAATAATTCTGCCATTACTGAAATACATAAATTTTTGTATATTGAATATATTAATATAAATTATTATTTATTTGAGATAATCAGCTTTGTTAGATGATCAAGTTTGATTCCAACCTTTATATCAGTTTAGAAAATATATATTTGATTAAGATTAGAGTTAAAAAAGAGTTTGATTAAAGTTAAAAAAGTTTTTAAATAAGAGTATAAAAACATTGTGTAATCTATTTTAAAAAATTAATATATAAATTATCATCTACTTACAGTTACGAGAATAATTGGGATTGAGGAATGCTTCTGTCAGTATAATCGGATGATTTACACTACCCTCTGTATCTATACCCATGTGTGTGAAAGTATAATCAAATATCTGTTCTTGAGCCTCAAAATGTGTTACAACATTTCGATCGAATTGAGTCTTCAATTGGAATCGAACAGCTTCGATGTTCGCTATATCATTTCCTACTTGAGGCTCTCCATCCTTCTTGCCACGTTCCTTTCGTGGTTTCGCTATGAGATTCTTGAATATTAATTGTGGTTCCTTTTCGGTAGCCCAACCAACTCTGCAATTGTAGGATCCTAATATCAAATAGTATTGTTAATTTACTATGCAGCACAATATATCGATATGACATTACCATTGTCAATAACCAGTGAAGTACATTCGGACTTTACTCGTTCCGAATAAGGATGTATTATATCCGGTGCAGCCTTTATATCCTTTAACTCAATCAATTCTATTTCCATTTTATCGGCCTGGAATATAATTTGTAAATATTGTAAACATATATAATTCTCACGCACGAGACGCTTTTACAACACAGGGGAACATAACCTATATCTGCACCTATACAGTTGGCAATAAACTGCTAACTTCAAGTATGTTCTTTTGAAGCGACACACTCGGCACAAATGTCGTTCTATCTTTCTTGGTATTCAATAAGCAATAAGAATAAAACAAGAATAAAACAATACTTGTATTACTAAATGGAAAGTTTTCTTTATCAGTCAATTAAATTAAAAAAGTAAATCTAAAAAAATAAATTTGAAAAATTTTTAAAATATCAAATGCAAAATTTAAAACTATTCTTAATCTGATTATTTTAATCTTTTAATTGTTTAATTAAAGATATTATTTAAGTATTATTCAAAAATATTATACATATAATGTTATTATATAAAATAAATTATACACACATTATAATTTAGATTTATAAAAAATGAATAGATGATAAAACCGACTACGAAACAATTTGATCATTAATCTATGGTTTATGTTAGTCTTGAAGATTTGAACCACTAATAAAAAAAAAAGAAAAAAAGAAGAAAAAAAAGATTAATATAATGAGTACAATTAGTTTATTTCTAGGTTTAGAAACTCGGGATATTAAGTCATTCCATGCTAATGTCATACCTATGATAGATTATCGGTAGCAAAAAATTATAAAAAAATCATAAGAAAATTTTATTCTTCATTTCGGTTTTTGATATTGCTTAAATGGAGCGATGCTGGAAATTAGTTTTCGAGGGGATTTCATTGTGCCTGTATCGGCTCTTTAGCTATTTTTTGTCTGCTTTCCCACTTTCTCTCTTTCTATACTTGATATTTAATTTATTATAAAATACGTATACAACATAATTAATTTATTACTGCAGTCTTCCGTATCTCGTTATATTCACATCAAACATCAATATACTTTTAAGAGTACAAATACGAAGTTACAAAATAATAATTTTAAAAAACCTTAAATCGCGGAAAAGTTCGCGAATGATTTGTCGTCTTGTGCAACTCATAGTTACATAATTGATAAAGAAACACATTGTCCAGAAATCGTTTGGCAATTTTGTGTGAAAAATTCATCATGTATTTTTACAACGGATTTATGAATTTAAATTCTGCACTTGCGATTTCTCTCTGCGGTTCACCATGAGCGATTTCTCCTTTCCTTACCCTTTTGCTCGGTACAAAGCGAGAATCATTAGACGAAAATTTGTCGCGATATTTCGAGTATAAACAGACCTTTGTTACATAGTATCTTAAGCGGAATTGCTTCCAGCGGAATAGCTATCGCGAGGCATAGGACTTTGTAACTGCTCTGTGCTCGATAAGACAATATATTCCTCGCAATGACTGCATAGGTATAGAGTATCCGTATAACGATTTGGCAAGGCAATGACGAAACATAAAGAGGAAATTTGTAGACGTAGTTGTAGAAGCTTCGCGTCAGTAAAATATACATATACAATCATGAACGCTGCAACTTTGAAATTATTGTAATAATTTGCACTTGTTTTTAACTATAAGTTCTTTGACATAAATGATATTTATATTTTCGTCTAATTCAAAAGGTTTGGAATTTATTCAAACTGACGGGCGGAAAAAATAGCGTATCATTATCGTATTATAATTAGCGTACAGATTTTACACAAAAGATACACTAAAAATAGCCGCACAATCTTCGAAGTTGTAAATTTAATTTTATTATTTTATTATCGTGGCTACAGCTTTGTTAAAATTAATTTATAATTTATGCTTTAATTAAAAATAATTATTTCCGCGTCGTACGAATAAATTTCTCGAGACATTTTAACGCGGAGGAATTAAAATTTTAACAACAATCGATTATTATCTAACGCATTCGCGTGTGATTAATATAAAAATTCATCTGTTATATTACACGAGAGATGTGACGTTGGATCGCAAGCTGTCGGGCAAGCGTGAGAAAAACGGAACGAAGAAAAGCAAACGTGTCCATTCCAGTCGTTCTTCTAATTCATTAACTTTTCCAAAATTTAAGGTCGCTTTCAATTAGAGAGGATATTCTCGCTCGTTGGTCTACTCTTCTAGCGGCGGTCGATCTCTCCCGGTACGGTACGTTGTGTGCGAGCGCGTGTGCTATAAAAGGATGGCCAGAGGTCTAATTGCAGCCATCAGCGAAAGCCGGCGGACCGGAAGCGGGCGGAAACTTTGCGGAAGAGCATTCTTCCCGAGGTCCTCCATCGGATCCTGTCGGGCGCGTCGAGAGAATTCCACGGTGATAGCCGGTAGCTCTACGCGCCCGCTCTCCTTCGCAGGCAATCTCTCGCGCAAAGGCTTTGGTCCATTTTTCAGTATTAGGAGGAAGCGATAGCCGCCGAGGCGATCGGTAATCGATATCCGCGGAGCCCAGTAAACTGACCAAACAACGATACGTACGGAGGCCCGATTGGTTTAGCTTCGCGGAGGGTGAGTACAGGTGTGCGATTGGTTGAGCAGGTGAGCGATTGGCTCGACTTCTCGGGCTTCCGTTTACTTCTCTCCGTTTCAGCCTTTGGCTTTTCTTCGGTCTATTTGCGGCACGGAGCCGTATAAAGCACGCGGAGCCGCGAGAACAGTTTTATGAAACACGAGGGATTTTTTCGAGACGTTTGCCTCGCATCGATATCTCATTATGTTCCCCATTTGTCTTTTTTTTTCCCCTTTTACCTTATTTCTCGAGTGTCTTAAAAGGAATATATATACACGTGACAATCTAGTATCGTAATATGTATGGAAACATTATGTCTCTGAGAAACAATTTAGACTGAAAGATCATTTTAACATCTCTCATACATAACTCAGCTATTATAGAATTTTTATTTGTTGCAAAATACTTTGCGGTCCAACTATTAATAATAGTTGGACTATATGGAAAACGTGACACATTTTTTCGCGACTCGCGTCGTTTTGTCGATTATTTTTCGCCTCTCTTTCCCGCGGCGCATCGCACGAACTTGCAGTTTTCGCGGGCGTTAACTCTCGTTGCGCCGTGCAATTTAGCGTTTCAGCGACGTATAATCGCGTTAAAAGTCAAGCGCCAACTCGAGACGAGGCGGTAATCGTCCGTTCTATCCGATAACGAGTTTCGTCTAACTTCGCGACTGCTTGGCGGCGGTGAAAGAGAACGACAAAATAAAGGGACCGTCCAACAGTGGGCAAAGGGTAGGAGAAGAAAAAGGTTGCAAATCGAACGTCGAAAGCAGCAAAATACATAATGGATAAATAATAATAATATATGTATACATATTTATACATGTTTTTAAATATTTTGTTCAATATATATATATATATGTGTGTGTGTATTATATTAGATAATCTCTTTAATGAGTTCTCTTGTCCGAGTTGTACGCAAAATATGGCTCAGAAACAGATTCCGAGATTGGAATAAAAAAATTGAGTATCCTGAACGTTTTAGCTCTCGTACGAATTTCTCTTGTCTCTTTTTTCATTCTCGCGCGGACATAGAATGCGGTTATTATCTCAACGCAAGTTGGTCATCCATTGGTAAATTTGATTTCGAATATATCAAAGATCGCTTCGATACGCAAGCGCAGATGCGATCGCCGCGCCATCACGAATCAGTTCACGTTGCGGCGCGTCGCGTTCGGACGAGCTTGAAGTTCGTCCGTATAGAAGTGATCGAGAAACGCGTACGCGAGTCTCGGAAATTATAAAAAGAAAACATCAAGAGCGTTGAAGGAAAGCAGAATGTGTATGGTTGCAGTGTCGATTGCAAATCGTGTTCGATGTTATATATGACACGCGTTCGTTCGTTTCGCTCAATATCTCTCGGCTCAGTTTCATCGAGGTCTTACGGCGCGCACACTTCACCGGTCGTTCCTTCCGTTCGAAATGCACGACATTTAGTACCTGTTAATTAATCGATAGCGCACGTCGAGAGTGCCCGGGAGTGGAAGTGTCCTGCTCCTCGACCATCGCGTCGAGATGCGCGTGAAGCAATTCAGTGCGCTTTCGCCGTCACGGGATTACTCGAATCAGTCAGCTGGTCGCGCGCTCAGTGCGCGTTTGCGCGATCGTTTCACATCGATTCGCGCCACGGTTCGGTTCGGTTTCGATTCGCTGGACGGACGCTATTCGTCGTTAG